TCTGCAGTTACCTTTATTCTTATGTTCAGCTCACCTGCTATGCTGCCAGATGTACGATTCTGCTTAAATTGCAGTACGACATTTGGGCTGCTGTTATACTTTTGAACTTATCACTGAATAATGATTACAGTTGTGGATGACTAAAATGTATGTTCTTAAACCTCTGATTAGGTTAGGTGGGGATGGTTACTCTAGTCATTTTTAAATAATAATAACATCAAATACAGTACATATACAGGTAGGATGCTAAAGGTCGCATTGGTTGTCTGGTGACGTCATACATAGTTGACCAGTAAGGTGCTGTAATACCTTCACACCTATGTGCTAATGGCTAGCAATACCTTATCCCTATACCTGAGGTCGCTTTTCACGATGTCACTAAACAACAACAATAACTGTTCTGTAGAATGTATTTGTTTGTTATATATAATATGTTAGGTTAGGTTAGGTTAGGATGGTTTGATCGGGTTTATTAATAACAGAAAATATAAGCAATGAGCGAAAATACGAGCTATTGTAGCTGAATAACAACTTTGATGAAGCACAGAGTACAGTTGAGGTATTAAGCCAGATTAAGAGTTCACACTTATGTGTGAACCTCCTGGGATCCGCATTTAGCGCGCCTCGCGCTGCAGAAGGCCTTATTTTAAAACATGAGAGGCTTGCTTTTACTGAATGAGTTTTTTTTATTTGTTATATGCCACAGGAGGAGGTATGTTTTGAGCGAATGTGAGACGTGTATGCGGTTAAAGACAATATTGGTTTACTACTGAACACGCATTGAAATCACCAATGCCCAGGGCTCTGTTTTTTTCATATAAACGACTGATAGCAGTTTTTTCATTTTATTTTTTGCCCTATGCATAATAAACGATCCTTCAAGAAAGATTGTCAAAGGTCAAATTACATTCTCTAGAACGACGACGAAGAAGAAATAGGGGTGACATGATAGAGGTGTGACTGAATGGTCATAGTAAAGGGGAATATTAATAACCTATTAAACGTATAAACATGGAACAGAACAGGAATGAATTGGATTGGTTTTTTAGATTTAGAAAAATACCTGGGTAAATACAGGTAACAGGGGAAGAACTCGAAAAATACACATATAACTTCTTGCAGTGCTGCTCCCCTTTTGTTTCATGCAATGGCCAATGGTTGGAAGTAAATAGGAAATTTAAAATAGTCTAGGGATGATGGTATTTTACATTAGGTTTCAGGGTTACTGTTGTATCACAAAACACACGACTCATAGACCGGCTTTCTAATCCCCTTGATCCTGCCTGTGCAGGAACGCTCAGCGGCTAGCTGGTGACGTCATTGACCATTAGCAATGTCTGTGCATGGCCCACTGCGGTAACGAAAAACAGGTACGCCAAGTCGTGTCCCACGAAAAAAGCAACGAAAAACAGGTACGCCAAGTCGTGTCCCATCAAAACTGCAACGAAAACAGGTACACCAAGTCGTGTCCCATCAAAACTGCAACGAAAAACAGGTACACCAAGTCGTGTCCCTCGAAAAAAGCAACGAAAAACAGGTACGCCAAGTCGTGTCCCATCAAAACTGCAACGAAAAACAGGTACGCCAAGTCGTGTCCCATCAAAACTGCAACGAAAAACAGGTACGCCAAGTCGTGTCCCATCAAAACTGCAACGAAAAACAGGTACGCCAAGTCGTGTCCCTCGAAAAAAGCCCTTAATACTGTAACGAAAAACAGGTATGACGGATCGTGACCCCTTAATACTGTAACGAAAAACAGGTATGACGGACCGTGACCCTCGAAACAAGTATGACGGATCGTGCCCCCTCGAAACTGCAACGAAAAACAGGTATGACGGATCGTGACCCCTTAATACTGTAACGAAAAACAGGTATGACGGACCGTGACCCTCGGTACTGTTGTATCGCAAAACACACGACTCATAGACCGGCTTTTTAATCACCTTGAACATGCCGGTGCAGGAACGCTGAGCGGCTACCTGGTGACGTCATTGACCATTAGCAATGTCTGTGCAGGGTCACTAAGCCAACGAAATTTGGGGATGCCAGGGACCGGCTTTTTAATCCCTAGGAACAAAAAACTATGATGCTACGACCGGCATAGGAACAAAAAATTCACAAAAGCCCATGATGCTACGACCGACATAGGGAAAAAACAGGAAAAACCCCAGATGCTACGACCGGGTTTTTAATCCCCTCGAACATGCCGGTGCAGGAACGCTGAGCGGCTAGCTGGTGACGTCATTGACCATTAGCAATGTCTGTGCAGGGTCACTAAGCCAACGAAATTTGGGGATGCCAGGGACCGGCTTTTTAATCCTACCCCCAGGCAAATTGTGATGCTACGACCGGCATAGGAACAAAAAATTCACAAAAACCCATGATGCTACGACCGGCATAGGGAAAAAAAACAGGAAAAACCCCAGATGCTACGACCGACATAGGGAAAAAAATAGGAAAAACCCATGAAGCTACGACCGTGCGTTTTGGTTTTTTCCAAAGCCGGTCGTAGCCATCAAAAACCCATGAAGCTACGACCGTGCGTTTTGGTTTTTTTCCAAAGCCGGTCGTAGCCATCAAAAACCCCTGAAGCTACGACCGGCTTTGGAAAAAACCAAAACGCACGGTCGTAGTCATCAATCCTACTACTCACCACTGCTACAACACACCCACCACCACCACCACTGCTACAACACACCCACCACCACCACCACTGCTACAACACACCCACCATCACCACCACTGCTACAACACACCCACCACCACCACCACCACTGCTACAACACACCCACCACCACCACCATCACCACCACTGCTACAACACACCCACCACCACCACCATCACCACCACTGCTACAACACACCCACCACCACCACCATCACCACCACTGCTACAACACACCCACCACCACCACCACCACCACCACTGCTACAACACACCCACCACCACCACCACCACCACCACTGCTACAACACACCCACCACCACCACCACCACCACTGCTACAACACACCCACCACCACCACCACCACTGCTACAACACACCCACCACCACCACCACCACTGCTACAACACACCCACCACCACCACCACCACTGCTACAACACACCCACCACCACCACTGCTACAACACACCCACCACCACCACCACCACTGCAACAACACACCCACTCCACCACCACCACCACCACTGCTACAACACACCCACCACCACCACCACTGCTACAACACACCCACCACCACCACCACTGCTACAACACACCCACCACCACCACTGCTACAACACACCCACCACCACCACTGCTACAACACACCCACCACCACCACTATTGCTACAACACACCCACCACCACCACCACTGCTACAACACACCCACCACCACCACCACTGCTACAACACACCCACCACCACCACCACTGCTACAACACACCCACCACCACCACTACTGCTACAACACACCCACCACCACCACCACTGCTACAACACACCCACCACCACCACCACCACCACTGCTACAACACACCCACCACCACCACTACTGCTACAACACCACCACCACTACTGCTACACCACCACCACCACCACTGCTACAACACACCCACCACCACCACCACCACCACCACTGCTACAACACACCCACCACTGCTACAACACACCCACCACTGCTACAACACACCCACCACTGCTACAACACACCCACCACCACCACCACCACCACTGCTACAACACACCCACCACCACCACCACCACCACTGCTACAACACACCCACCACCACCACCACCACTGCTACAACACACCCACCACCACCACCACCACTGCTACAACACACCCACCACCACCACCACTGCTACAACACACCCACCACCACCACCACCACCACCACTGCTACAACACACCCACCACCACCACCACTCCTACAACACACCCACCACCACCACTGCTACAACACACCCACCACCACCACTGCTACAACACACCCACCACCACCACTGCTACAACACACCCACCACCACCACTGCTACAACACACCCACCACCACCACTACTGCTACAACACACCCACCACCACCACTACTGCTACAACACACCCACCACCACTACTGCTACAACACACCCACCACCACCACTGCTACAACACACCCACCACCACCACCACCACTGCTACAACACACCCACCACCACTGCTACAACACACCCACCACCACCACCACCACTGCTACAACACACCCACCACCACCACTATTGCTACAACACACCCACCACCACCACTACAACACACCCACCACCACCACCACTGCTACAACACACCCACCACCACCACCACTATTGCTACAACACACCCACCACCACCACTATTGATACAACACACCCACCACCACCACTATTGCTACAACACACCCACCACCACTACTGCTACAACACACCCACCACCACCCCTATTGCTACAACACACCCACCACCACCACTATTGCTACAACACACCCACCACCACCACTACTGCTACAACACACCCACCACCACCACTGCTACAACACACCCACCACCACCATTGCTACAACACCCCCACCACCACCACTACCACTGCTACAACACACCCACCACCACCACCACCACTGCTACAACACCCCCCCCCCCACCACCACCACCACCACAACACACCCACCACCACCACCACTGCTACAACACACCCACCACCACCACCACTGCTACAACACACCCACCACCACCACCACTGCTACAACACACCCACCACCACCACCACTGCTACAACACACCCACCACCACCACCACTGCTACAACACACCCACCACCACCACCACTGCTACAACACACCCACCACCACCACCACCACTGCTACAACACACCCACCACCACCACCACCACTGCTACAACACACCCACCACCACCACTGCTACAACACACCCACCACCACCACCACCACTGCTACAACACACCCACCACCACCACTGCTACACTACTGCTAATAAAACTTGACTCACCTTGATATAAGAGACTTGTGGAATTTTCAGCTGCGTCTCTGTAAATAAAAACAAATATTATATGTGTTGATCCAGAAGAATGTTAATTGTTTACATTACAACAGTGTTGCCCTCATATCCGGATCAAAGACGTTTTCATCTGTAAATTTGCAAAGTAATGTTTAGTACATTATGTATATAGTCTAAAACATCGATATTTTGACTTTGTGTAATTATAAGTATTATTCTGTGTGGAAGAGGGCAGGGGCGAGAGGAAATCGGAATGAACTGGAATGGGACAAGAAGGGTGAGAGGTGGGTGGGGGATCACATTAGACAAAGGTACAACACAGAAAAAACGGCGGGTTAATTATTACATTCCAGTCCCTAACAGCGAGGGTGACCTGGACACTCATTGTAGCATGGGTGAGCTGGTCTCTCACCCCAGCATGGGTGAGCTGGTCTCTCACACCCCAGCATGGGTGATGTGGTCTCTCATCCCAGCATGGGTGATGTGGTCTCTCATCCCAGCATGGGTGAGCTGGTCTCTCACCCCAGCATGGGTGAGCTGGTCTCTCACCCCCCAGCATGGGTGAGCTGGTCTCTCACCCCCCTGCATGGGTGATGTGGTCTCTCACTCCAGCATGGGTGAGCTGGTCTCTCACCCCCCAGCATGGGTGATGTGGTCTCTCACCCCAGCATGGGTGAGCTGGTCTCTCACCCCCCAGGATGGGTGATGTGGTCACACCCCAGCATGGGTGAGCTGGTCTCTCACCCCAGCATGGGTGAGCTGGTCTCTCATCCCAGCATGGGTGATGTGGTCTCTCATCCCAGCATGGGTGAGCTGGTCTCTCACCCCAGCATGGGTGAGCTGGTCTGAACGTGAGCGTCTCTAGTAGATTGAGTATAACATGTGCGCAACAACCATATTTCTACCTTACACTTGATCAGGTAGATGTATAACACAACTCAGCCGTCTCCTACTGAGAACACCCCACTGGTCAAGTGTTTTCCGGTTCTTTTCATCGTTTCCTTCCTTTAATTATCTGGTGCAGCGTCCTGGAGCGTGAGGGAGCGGACGCGCTCAGGGGATCACAGCGGGCGGGAACGGTCACGCTGGCTAATTTACAAGTACAATTTTGAGAACATTTTGCAAAGACTTATCAACTGATTCTAAGATGTTTTGGTTAATGTTCGTCTTGTTGGATGTGTCTACATAGTCTTGCCAGCTTGGTGCCTTCTCGTGACAATTACATATTTGTTGGATGTGTTTATTTAGTAAGAATTAACCGTCAATGATTCCATAACAAAGTTGGCATCGTATTATCCTGACGAGTTTTGTAGGGTATATGTAACGCTGAGGAAAGAATTATATTCCTCATTTTACTACCCATAATCACACACACACACACACACACACACACACACACACACACACACACACACACACACACACATACACACACACACACACATACACACACACACACATACACACACACACACATACACACACACACACATACACACACATATATATATATATATATATATATATATATATATATATATATATATATATATATTATTAAATATGACCGAAAAAGTAAGATTAATAATTCTAACACGAATTTTCTCAATCTTTCGTACATTACGCTTCACTGTTGGAGGTAAATTAAAAATCAATTCTCCAAAATTCATTTTTATTTCTAGTCTGACGCGACACGGCTTTATTATTATAATATTTTTTATTTCTAGTCTGACTAGAAATAAAAATGAATTTTGGAGAATTGATTTTTAATTTACCTCCAACAGTGAAGCGTAATGTACGAAAGATTGAGAAAATTCGTGTTAGAATTATTAATCTTACTTTTTCGGTCATATTTAATAATATATGTCTACAGGAAAGACTGCTACCAAAATATACTAATATATATATATATATATATATATATATATATATATATATATATATATATATATATATATATATATGTGTGTGTGTGTGTTACTCTGAGATGAGACTACAGCTAATATTACCCAATCCAACCCCGAGTCATAGGCGTCACTTTCACACAGGACACTACAAAAGAACTGCGATCTTCTATCCCGGCAAGTCCACTTCTATCTTCCATCATACAACACTCAAGGTTCCTCCTCTGAGCCTTTCGTCTACAGCACTCACTCCAGCGAGTTCACCTTTCTCAGTAATTCATGGGTCCGTCCGCCACAATATCATCGGAGTCAAAACACCATTTCGGCTCTCTCTATATATCTCGCTGGCTGGCTTTCCATAAAATGCTTCACCTATACCAAGTCTTAACATAGAGGACAGGCGGATATTAATTCCATCTAGACAAGCAGACTTTGACAGTTATCATGGAACCATGTGTTGAACAAGTGTTCACGTGTTGAACACGTGAGAGGGCCCGGCTGTAAAGGCGTCGTCGGTTGGTGACGCCACCTAAACATGAATGGCAATTCTTCACTATCTGTGGTGTTCCGCCTCCAGCCTCCTGAGATAATACAATGTGGATAGGCACACATCGCACTAGAACAAATCCACAAGGGCCGTGACGAGGATTTCTGATCGGCCGTGATTTCTGTGTGTACACCACAGTAATTATTATTACAATATTTAGGTCATAATTTTGACTCGGTTTACTCAAGTTATTTAACTTGAGTAAATCAAGTTTAATCAAGTTATTAGAGTAAATCAAGTAAATAATAAAGTTGTTATAGCTTGTCATGCAATATAACCATCAACCATAAACAGATCTTACTTTGGATAACTAAGAACTAGGTAAGCCGAAATATAAGCACTTCCCTGTGTTGACCAGACCACACACTAGAAGGTGAAGAGACGACGACGTTTCGGTCCGTCCTGGACCATTCTCAAGTCGATTGACAATCGACTTGGGAATGGTCCAGGACGGACCGAAACGTCGTCGTCGTCCCTTCACCTTCTAGTGTGTGGTCTGGTCAACATACTTTAGCCAGGTTATTGTGACTCCTCGCCTGCACTTCCCTGTGTTGTCGTTGTCGAATACGTCCATAGAAATATATATTGATTATTACGAGCACCAGCGGAGCGCTTTAATTGACACTGACAAATCACTCGTGTTAGTTGGGAAGGCTTGATGTCTCCGTCCCCGTCAGAGGACGCGTCCACTGAACGGTTCATTTATGGGGTCTGGTAATAATTGTAGTAGTAGTTTTATTCTATTTAATTGATGATTAATAATTTAGTAATGTGTAATTTATTAAATTCAGTCATGAGGCTGTTGTATTAAGTATTTAATGTTTAATTATATGCATATTAAATTAATTCCTGCTACGTGGTAATATAATCTCGTTTTCTGGAGAGATTGCACATGTACAGTTTATTTTAATGCATAACTTAAGTTATTTTAATGTATATTTATATTAATACAAAATCAGCGGAAATATTGTTTTCTGCATATTGTATTTAGAAATAGTAATGTTGACGGGAATTTCCGACAAGGCGTCAAGGAAACATTTTATGAAGGGAACAGCTGTATATGCTTCCGTGTAGTAGTCACCACCTCTGTGGCCACCCCCCCCTAGACTATTTGTACTTAAGAGCCTTATGGAAGATGATAGTTTGGTGCAGTGTGTTGACCAAACTCTTCAGACAATATATACAAATTATCTGGAACCGTCCCTATTAAACACCGTCGTCATTCCTCTGACCATCTGGGAACTCTCACCAACCATCTTTAGGGGACTTACTTGGGGCTTGTTCAGGGACTCGTCTGAGGCCTGGGCAAACTGACCCGAGGCCTGGCCAGACCGACTGACCCGAGGCCTGGCCAGACCGACTGACCCGAGGCCTGGCCAGACCGACTGACCCGAGGCCTGGCCAGACCGACTGACCCGAGGCCTGGCCAGACCGACTGACCCGAGGCCTGGCCAGACCGACTGACCCGAGGCCTGGCCAGACCGACTGACCCGAGGCCTGGACCAACTCACCCGAGGCCTGGTTGGAGACTGTGAGGAGCGTGGTGACGCCTAGACAGGTGCGGGCGGGCACGGAGTCGGTATCCATCCAGAAGCCCATCCAGGAGATGACGACGATGAGGATGCTGGGCAGGTAACTCTGCACCAGGTGGAACCCGATGTTCCTCTCCAGGGTGATGAGGGCTCGCAGGCAGCTGTAGTTACCTGTGGGAGAAGGCAACTCCGTCAGGTATGACTTACACACACCAGCCCTTTGTCATGATTGACAAGCATTACATTTGTAAGGGTTTTGTCTAACCAGAAGCGCCCGTATCTCAGCGACCTATTGAGGGGCATGTTCATTAATCTGAACCAATTTTATGGTGTTTTTAATTTCATTCGTGCACTGGAATTATTACGTTGTGGAGAAGACGGTAGGATTGCAGTGCATTATGCGAGAGGACAGGGTAACAGGTTACATGTACAACTGCACCCCGACCTCATCTCAGACTCTGAATTAGTGTATTTTGTGGCATAAAATTTCAGTAGTCCTAACATAATATTGTAATTGAAAGCCTTACCTTGCCTTGTGGTCCCGGGGATCAGCATCCCAGGCTGCTGGGACGCTGATCCCACGACTACCTGGTGGGTTGTTTGGTCAACCAGGCTGTTAGGCCCACCTACCCCCAGCATGCTGTATGAATCACAGGCTGGTTAATAAAGTCTATCGTATTGACTAACTGTAAGTAAGTAGATTATTTATAAAGTTGTATAATTTTTTTAATAATAATCAATCATGTAGTCATGGGCAAAATTCTTTCATGGGTGGGGGGGGGGGATAAAACTTTGCAACACTGCTTTTCGAGGTGCTAGGCTGTTGAAAAAAATTACCACATTTTGTTTTTACATTATTGACAAATAGTTGAATTATATTGTCGAGGAAAACTTTACTGTTAATATTTTAATGAATGGTTATTTGATATCATAATTATTTTTTGTAACGAATTGGAGCATATGATCAAATGTAATCCCAGAAGCATGTGGCACAAACCGTAATTTCCAGATATAATAGTATACACCCAGATATAATAGTATACACCCAGATATAATAGTATACACCCAGATATAATAGTATACACCCAACATGGTAATGTAATGAAAGCCTAGGTCACTAGTCCCATAGATTACGATTGGCTCTTCAGACAGTGCTATACGTTAATATATTGTTTTAGATTTATCACCAATTATATAAGTACTGTTTATTTCATTATGAACGCCTAGTAGTTAAATATCAATACGATTTTGTCCTGTGAATATCCTTATTTGTGTTTAACACTAAGCGGTTTTATGGCTATAAAAGTGCACACGACATCTGAATCTTTGCTGGCTATAGAAACGGGAAGAGAGCATGATGTAGTAGAAGTAGTCACATCATTTGAATTTAAAGGAAAAATATTTTTAAAATGTGTGATACGCTTATAATAGCTGCATATGTCATTATTTGGCAAATTCCCATTCCGTATCTGAAATTTCTTGCCTAACCAAGCTAGTAATTATCTAAGTGTAGTTACAGGATGAGAGCTACTCTCGTGGTGTCCCGTCTTCCCAGCACTCATATAACCCTTTGAAACTACTGACGGTTTTGGCCTCCACAACTTTTCTCACTTGTTCCAACCGTCTACCACTTTGTTTGCAAAAGTGAATTTTCTTATATTTCTTCGGCAGCCTTGTTTAGTTAGTTTAAATCTATGACCTCTTGTTGAAGTTTAAGGTCTCGGGAATTCTTCCTTATTAATTTTGTCAATTTCCGTTACTATTTTGTACGTAGTGATCATATCACCTCTTTTTTTTGTGTGTTTTTTCTAGTTCTGGCATCTTTAATGCCTCTAATCTCTCCTTGTAGGTCTTGTCTTTCAGTTTCGGAACCCATTTAGTTGCATGACTTTTCACCTTTTCCAATTTGTTGATGTGTTTCTTAAGAGATGAGCATACAACCGCTGCATATTCCAACTTCGGTCTCACAAGGTTGTGAACAATTTCTTTAGTATTTCACCATCCATATATTTAAAAGCAATTCTGAAATTGGAAAGCATAGCATAGTCTACTCGCGCAATATTACGTGGGCCTCGGGTGACAGTTTTCTATTTAGAACCACCCCTAGATAGAGGGGGTGGTTCTGATAGAGGCCCACTCTATCAGATTTGTTTTTTAAAGCTTTTTCATATCATTTGTAGGTTGTGTGTGGTCTATTTTCTCCTCCACATTCCATAACATGGCATTTATTCACATTAAATTTAATTTGCCAAGTGATACTCCATACACTTATTTTATCCAGGTCTCCTTGAAGAGCATGGCAATCTTCTAAGTTTCTTATCATCCCTAGTGTCTTAGCATTATCAGCAAATATGTTCATTTAATTCCATATTCCTTCTGGAAAGTCGTATATGTAGAAATGAACATTATCAAACATTATTATAATGAACATTATTATTACATTACCTCTACTGCCCTCATTTTTCTGTCAGAATTTTTCATCGGTATTAGTAACCTCCGTGTCACACCAGTATGGTCTAGGTTTCCAGAACAATTTCTTATGTGGGACTCCAATGCCTCTTTAAGGTCCAGATAAACACAGTCAACCCAACCATCTCTTTCCTGTAAAATCTCTGTGGCTCTATCACAGAAAGTAAGTAAATTCCTTACACAGGATCTTCTAGATCGAAAACCACACTGTTGTTATATCTTTTTGTCCAGGGGTTCTACCCATTCGGTTTCAATTATTTTTTCCAGTATTTTAACTACTGCACTTGTCATTGATATTGGTCTATCTTTAAGGGGATCTTCCTTGCTGCCACTTTTGTAGATTTGAACTTTGTTAGCATTTTCCAATATATCTTGCCAGGGCCTATACACAACCTCTTCAACCTACTTCCAAGTGGAGGCGTGTGTGAGAGCGCGGTTGACATAGGCATTGACAATACTCCGTTTGTACCTATCAGGGCTCTCACTTTTAGCATTAAGGCACATTCCTATGTTGGTTTCCTTAGTGGGAAAGTCACTATTCCTTTCTGAGACTGTTACATCTAGGGAAAGGTAGCCTACATCCACTCTCAATCTCGTAAGTGATCAGGTACACACGTATACTGAACTTCGCTCGAATGCATCCTTAAGCCGCAGCAAGTGCTCAATATATTCAGGTAGTAGTCGGATGAGAGTGAGAGTCGGACCCCAAGAGACGAAATTGAACTGTAGTAAGCACAGATAAGCGAACACTCACATGCACAGGAAATTTCCATCCAAACACCAGCATCTTCCCCAAATATTTTACCTTCTGGAATGCTTTTCTTAAATTGCATTTCCCGTGAATGGTCAATTCTGACTGAATAAGCACAGATTCCAGACATTAACTTTCAGCCGCGTAGCACCAGAAGAGAGAGTGAAGCTGACTCGCTCAAAATGAACTCCATTAATGTGCATTCGCTAACACGTTTATGACCGCAATAACCAAGATGATGAATATTGATAATGACGACAGTGATGACGGTAATAATGATGAAGACAATATAAACAGTAAAGTAAAACAACGCCAATGGAACAATGATGATTATAATGTTTACAAAAGGAGAAACGACACAGTTACTGAGCGTACGAAGTCTCTCCCGCCCCTACGGCCACCCAGTCATCTGGCTTTCAAACATTTACGAGGTCACAAAGGCCAAGAATCAGAAGAACAGAATAAGAATATTTTTCGTATCCCTTGGCTTATAAGAACACTCAAGAACGGCTCCAGATTGGCGAATCAAATTGCCAGCGGCATTAGGCTATGTTTACCCCCGCCCTCAACCACCCACCGCCCGCAGCATCGGGCGGGGAGCCCGTGTTTACCCCCGCCCTCAACCACCCACCGCCCGCAGCATCGGGCGGGGAGCCCGTGTTTACCCCCGCCCTTAACCACCCCCCGCCCGCAGCATCGGGTGGGGAGCCCGTGTTTACCCCCGCCCTCAGCCACCCCCCGCCCGCAGCATCGGGTGGGGAGCCCGTGTTTACCCCCGCCCTCAACCACCCCCCGCCCGCAGCATCGGGTGGGGATCCCGTGTTTACCCCCGCCCTCAGCCACCCACTGCCCGCAGCATCGGGCGGGGAGCCCGTGTTTACCCCCGCCCTCAACCACCCACCGCCCGCAGCATCGGGTGGGGAGCCCGTGTTTACCCCCGCCCTCAACCACCCACCGCTCGCAGCATCGGGTGGGGAGCCCGTGTTTACCCCCGCCCTCAACCACCCACCGCTCGCAGCATCGGGTGGGGAGCCCGTGTTTACCCCCGCCCTCAACCACCCACCGCTCGCAGCATCGGGTGGGGAGCCCGTGTTTACCCCCGCCCTCAACCACCCACCGCTCGCAGCATCGGGCGGGGAGCCCCAGCCTCACAATCATCTGGGGTTACATACCCGCCACAGGCTGGTCTATTTCCGTCACGCTGAGCCGACAAGCCACACATTAACTTCTTCCATGAAGCTGAAGCTTGGAGGTGGGCGGAGGACTGATCAGCTGTCATTCCTTCGTGTATTGGTGGGTTCTTGTAACCAGTTCTTACATACCTCTTCACCCACCGCTTTACCTTCGTGGTATACTTTATTATTTTTTTACTTGTTTACGTTTGTAATCATTAATATGTATCCCTCTTCACGCTCATTATCCTCTGTTTTGGCCTCGCATTGTTCCTCTTGCTTCTCTTCCCCACCAACTGTCCTCTTGAGTATCACGTCAATACTCCTGTTCATCTTCCTCTCACCCCACATGCACGAGGGTTTAGCCTCTCTTACTTCCCTTATGTCTTTCTCTCATTCCATGTTCTGTTTATCTCTGTCTTTCTCTCATTCCATGTTCTGTTTATATCTCTGTCTTCCTCTTTACCCGTCATTGTGGACTCATTACGACACACTGCTCCCTACACGCTCTCATTGACCTTCGTTAACCACTCACACTTATGGCGTTAGAGAGGGGGAATGATAATGACAAAGATACTGTTCTCTCTATTTCCCCTTCCTCCTCATAATCATCACAGTCTCTTAATGTCTCTCTACATGCGTTGTATCCCAACACCTTCGTAATCGTTCCCACCCAAGCTCAGTTACCTTATTGTTACTGAAATATATATCTGGCGATATAACATTTCGGAATTATATAAACCAAAATCTAGAAGAAGATTAAGATGCTTTTACAAGCT